TCTGTCTGTCTGTCTGTCTGTCTGTCTGTCTCTCAGCCAGTCACTCAATAATTGCTGCACCCTCCAGAACATTCTGCTGTATTCAAAGGCATATCTGCGCATTATTATGGAGGTACATAAGAGACCCTACAGCGGCGTTCATGACTTACTGCGATTTTCATGGCTGTGCCCTTTCCATTTAAGGACACCAGCCAGAAACCCGATTCATGACTTACTGTAAGAGTTACTGGTTTACTGCCGTCGAGGAGACCACCAAACACGATTAACTTCAATAAATATCCAGGTGGATGAAGGAGCTCTGCATGTAATCATTAGCTCAGCAGCAAAGAAAGAATGTTAATATTGTTTTTTGCTTACTGGATGCTTTTCTGTGTAGAGGGATTGGCACTGCGCATTATAAGATTCGCTTCAGGCGGGTGCACAGGTCCACATGGTGAGAGTAGAAGGAAGTGAGGGGACTTTATGAGGGTTTGGGAATATAGCAGATTTAGGGGGCTCTAGCCACCATATTTTTTTTTATCTCAGCATCCCTGAAATTATATTAATCCATTTATCTGTTTGTCTTGTATTTTTATACACATTTCAAACCCAAAATGCAGCCAATTTTTGGGGTCTACAAATGGGAGGGGGCTGTAGCCGTAAGGTCTGTTCTGTTGGGGGGCAGAAAAAAAGATGAGTGTTGTATTATCAGGGCCTGGGTCACCTGACCCTGTCCCGCCCCAAAACATCCTCTCCCTCCCCCAGTCTTGCAGCCAACATGTGTGGTTTTTGGTGTAGGAGGTCATGCGTGTTTACCTGAGGCTCAGCGTGTCTGAGGTTGTATCCGGTTGCCTCGCGGTCATCATTACATCATTAACGCCCCCCACCAACGAGATGGGATGATGTCACGGCTTGCTCACGTCAGCATTCTAAGAATTACGTTATATATATGTTTTTTTCCAGCCTACATGCAGACATGTTACGGTCTAATTAGTGCTGGTGTGGGTGGGGGGGCGTGGGGGTCAGGTCAGAGAGCACCATGTTTATGGCGCCATCAGAACACACCGCGTTTCCAGGGCTAGTTGCCATGACGGCCATGCTGTGGACTATACTAATAGTTAAGAATATTTGCCTACCATTGATGAAGTCCCAAGTGCAAGCCAGCATCGGGGGGGGGGGGCTGGCCTGTCTCTCCTCTGCCCTGGGGGAGCCTCCCACCTGGCCCAGCTGTGCAGATAAGTGAGATTATTTCCCAACACCGGTCCTCCGGCCTGTTTCCAGGGAACGCTTTAGGGTGGCACTCCAGCGAGGTGGTTAGAGGAGAGGAAAGGCAGCTATTGCAATCTCTGTTTGCTCATTGTGGGCTTATATGAGATGGGACACGCAAGGCAGAAAAGTGTGACTTTGACCACCTTTATCTTAGGGGGCAGCGTGTGGCTCAACAGGCTAAGCCTTTGTGCCTGCGATCGGCAGGTCGCCGGTTCAAGCCCTGACAGAATAATCATGTCTGTGGGCCCTTGAGCAAGGCCCTTAACCCCCCAGCTCCATGGGCACCACTGCCAGTGGCTGCCAAGTTTGCTCACACCTACATGTGCGTCATGGAGAGCAAGATGGGTAGGCAAAAAGAGAATTTATTGTTAAGTGTTATTGTTATTAAATACCAAGTGACTGCATCCTCAATTCCTCCCTCTGTCCTGACGTGTGCTTCAGTGTCCTTAGGATTGAGGTGATGTGGCTAAATAGTCAGGGGAGATTCTGTCCTATGGGCAGGATTGAGGGGCCACGTGATTGGATGAGGTTTTCCTCCCTCCGGCTTTGATTGGACAGCTGCTTATACTGTAATTAATGGCGACCAGCAGCCATGACGTATCGAATGGGCCGTGTTTACTGCACAGCCGGAGACGGCAGGTGAGACCTGAGCAAAATGAGGAAGAACTTACTGAAGCATGACGATGCCTCACGTTTATAGTGGCCATGAAAACCGTTCACTCAAAGCAGGTCCATTACAAAGCACTTAATGATGTAATTAACAGCCAGAGTGGCTCGCTGTGTGAGAGACTAGCTGATTCCGTGATATTTTAGCCAAGATTTTATTTTCCCTCCTTTCACTGTCAAAGCTCGCTCATCAAATGATGAAAGTGGTGAAAGTTACCATTCCTAAAATATTTGTGCAAATGGAGCGTTAACGGGTGGCCAAACGTAGCTGGCCAAAACCATGGCGAGTCGATGGGGGTGGGGGGGGGGCAGCATTCTATCACATCTGCACGTCAAAGGTGGGGCCATCCTTTAAAATGTGGTGATTGATTGCTTTTGTCTTGCTGACTCGGCTCAGCCTGTCTCTGTGGCCACTGTCCTTACATCCGAGTGCCATTAGCTATTGATTTTATTTCAGGATACAGAATACAGGGTCAGAGGGTGTGTTCAGCCCAGTGCCTTGCTTGCCTCTCCCTGGCTTTCTGCACAGCGCTCAGCTCCTGTATCACCTATCTGTCCTAGTCGATCCCTGATGGTGGTGCTGGTGATGAGCAATGACAGGGAGTGGAGTGGGGGAGGTAGGGCCAGGCTCTGACCCCAGCTGCCCAACAAATTCCCCATCAACTTCCTACCCTCCTGACAGCACCCCCTAGTGTTGTGAGCCGGCGACGCGGGCAGCATTGCAAGCTCTTGTCGCACCCAGACCCGTCGGTACCCGCCGTGGCAGCAGGATGTGAGCCTAGAGGCATTCTGACAGTGACACAGAGAGAAGGGAGACGAGATGAAATCTGTAAACAACGTTCGACTGTAACAGAAAATGCCTGGAAAGAAATTAAACATGGAGGAAATAAGGAAACTATGGAGCACCTTTAAATCTAAATACATTTAAGTAGACATCTGTGATTATCAAGGTCAGCGGTGGTAGCTGGTACCCAGTAATCAGTCATACGCTGGACTTTCCTTTGTTGAATATGGCTGAGCTCACTGGCTGGGGGCCTATTTCCATGGCTCTCGTCCTTGGTCCTGCGAGGCCACAGCGCTCGCGGGTGTTTTTTTCCCTACTTTCCTCAGTGTCAGTATCGAGGGGAGGGGGGGGGGGGGGGGGGGGGGGGGGGGCTGCATCAATTTAATTAGTCCAGCGGCGCCCTTAAGCGACCAGACAGAAAATCGACGAGGGCAGCAGCCAACCTGCAGCCGCTAAACCGTTTGGCGCGTGGGACCAAAAAGCGCCGATGATGGTCCAGGTGTCCGCTAGCTTTGTGCAGGCAGGCAGCAGGCCCCCTGCGACCCCAGCTAGGGGGGGTCACACATGTCTTGGGACTGCGAGTAGGAGGGGGTTGCATCCCAGGGCAAGAGATCTGCCCATTCAGTGCTGCCACACAAAGGAAAAACACTGTAACTGCATCCGTCCATCAGTTTTCTATCCCCACTTGTGCTATGCAGGGTCACTGGTTCAGAGCCTAACCCAGAAACTATGGAAGCAAGACAGGGCACAACCCAGGATGGGGTACCAACCCACCGCAGGGCAAGCTCACACACCATTCATACATAGTCGCACCCATGGATAATTTGGCCTGGCATGTTTTTGGACTGTGGGGGTAAACCAGAGAACCAGTAGGATGGTATAAGCAGGTCCGAGTAGCCAGATGAGATCAAGTAACATTACTGGAGGAATAACAAGGGTAATTAATATTTTCCCAAGTATTCTCAAAGCTTGTCTGTCATTCCATTTTTCACTAGAGGTTTTACAACACAACATTCCATTATTTCTGATTAGTTTTGCTTGTCGCATTTGTCTGGATGCGTACACAGTACCTGGCATTTCAGCAGCGTGAAAAGGGGCCTCTGCACGTGGAAGCTGTGAGCTGGGCCCCCAGATGCTCGCGGGAGAGTGAGACTCGGTCTGTGGGGCTTCTGTTCACTCGTGCAGTTTTTTAAAATTCAGAGCCCCGTCCCGTGTCATGCTCAGTTCTCATTTGAGGGAATGGAAGGGAGTCGACGTTATGTTAAGCAAGCTAAGACGCACTGCTGTTTTTATGCATGGGGAGGGGGGGATTGACAGGGTGCACTTCAATCCCTTTTCGTAACGTCTGGCGCGATTTGTCGTGCTTAACGCCTCCTTGAGAGAGGCTGTTTCATCTGCGCTTTTGGGCAGGTCTGGTGCCGGGGGCTATGTGTGCATGTCGGCCCGAACGTGGAAAGCCTGCGGGAATTAGCGGTAACCGCCTGAACCGCAGACTCTGGGTCGTTTCCACCCCCCCCTCCCCCCCAGCGACTTACTCATGAAGCGTGACACGCGGAGCCATGCAGCCGTGTGTCTCTGCACCAAGCCTGCAGCCCGTTGTGGGACCCTTTGCACGGTCGCTGCTTTCCGGCGGTTCGCTGGCTTTTTAACATTCTTGCAGGCTCCTGCATGCCCCCCCCCCCACACCCTGCCCTGTCCTTCCTCTAAATTGGCCGACAGGGCGGTTGGTTGATGGCTTCCTGCTGGAGAAGCTTCCAGCATGGAGCAACATGGGGTCTGGATGCAAGCAGTACAAGGAAAGCAGAAACACTATAGCAGGCTTGCCTCCTACCAGCCATACAGCCATTATTGGTCCTGTAATCACCTTCACCCCCCCTCTGGACCCCCGTAATTGTATCCTGTCCCCTGCTCCCCCAGCCCTGCCAGAAGTCTCCCTATTGTATATCCACATCACTGTACCCCCCAGTCTATAACCGCATCCCCCCCGCTCACACCGCCCGGTCCGGTCCAGTCCGGTCCAGCCTTAACCAGTCCCCGGTTCCCTAATTATATCCTGCCTCCTCTCCGCAGCCAAGCTGAGGTCCAAGTGCGCGTCCACATTCTTCGCCTGTGCAAACGGCGAGCACTGCATCATCGGCCGCTTCCGCTGCAACGGCTTCACCGACTGTCCGGACGGCAGCGACGAGGAGAACTGCAGTGAGTTGGCCGACGGTGCCCCCGGTTGTTGGGGGGGGGGGGTCACTTAAAGGCCAGAGTGTGATTCTACTTGGGGCATGTGACAGGAAGCACATAGGGATTGTGGGTAATTGGTGTACGGCCTGACATTAAACGCGAGTACAGGCAAGGGAAACCTGCCCGTATTAAATGTAACATGGGGGTTCCATGGTGTGAGCGCTGGTCTCCAGAGCCCAGTTCCTTCTCCCAGCTCAGCCGTACGTGGTGTCGACGGCCATGGACCACAGCCTCCCTCTGGGTGGGGCTGACGTCTCACAGAGTGCCCCCCCAGCAGGGAGCACGGGCTGGCTCAGCCCCATTGTCCCGGGGAGCGTCAGTCTCTGTGTCGGGCCCGTGGCCTCGCCGAGAGGGGGGCGGGGCTGTGACAGCGGCAGATACCCCCCCCCCACCCTGACACTGCGTCCTCTCCCCATGCAGCGGCTAACCCCCTGGTGTGCTCCGCCACCCGCTTCCACTGCCGCAACGGGCGTTGCGTCGATCGCAGTTTCCTATGCAACGGCCAGGACAACTGCCTGGACAACAGCGATGAGGAGGAATGCCACACCACCCCTGGTGCGTAGATGCGTGCACACACACACACAGACACACACACACACACAAGCACGCCCACAAATATGTACTCACACATGCACACACACGGACGCACGCACACACACACACATGCACATGCACACACACACCGTGCACCTGCTTTCCACAAGGAATGAATTCGTTGTTACGTGTGATCTGTCACTTTGCCAGAATGAATGCCAAATTCAGGTGGTCTGAGGGAAATGTTTTAAAGTTTAAACGTGCCGGTTCCCTCCGGCTCTCCTGCAGCTCCTTGTTTTATGGCTGCGTCATGCATACGCTGGCTTTATGGTTACCTTGTTACCTTGTTCCTGTCTGTCGGCGATAGTGTACAGTACTGTAAGTCTTAGGCAGTCAAAGGAAATGTTTAAAGCTACTTATCTGGGTAGTAAGGGTAAGGGTTTGCTCAGAGAAAAAAAAACACAATTTAACATTAAAACATATGCAAAAAAAAACACAATTAAAAACTAACAGGAATTTCTTTTGTTGTCCAAAAAGTTACTGGTATCTTGTTGGATGGCTAGACGAACACCGCTTCAGTTCCCAAACCTCTCCTCAGGGGCACCGTAGCCATTCCATGTTTTAGTTCACAACCAGCTGACTTAATGAATTAACATAATATGTTAAATTACTCAATGAGATATTAGTCATTCGAGGCATATTAGCGGTCGAGTCAGAAACTACATGTGAGTATTGGTTGGTTTATGAAGATACTGTAGTGACTTTAGCAGAGGTTTTGGAATGGCAAAGCTAACACACTTTGACAGGCATAATATCGTTTTACACCAACAGGAAGATCATTCAAACATCGTTTTTATTGACTAACTATTTGCACCGCGCTGCAAATTGCTGAGTAAGTATGAACCCTGAGCAGTAAGGCACTTGCATCCAAATGCAAACGCCTTAACACCAGTCCCTGTGCCACTGCAAACTTTCGGGTGAAAATTTCAGCCCTTCCTTTGTCAGGGAGAGCTTGGATGCAGCAAGCGCCTACCACTCTCTGCTCCGTCCCGCTCTGGTCTGGCCCGGCCTGGCCCTGTGCTAATCGCAGGCATGCTGTCGGGGGCTGATAAGAGCCACGAGCTCTGATAAGCTACCTGAGCCGCACCCCGTCTCCGTCGCTCCTCTCTGAAGGGCCCAAATCTCTGCTATCCTCCTGCAGCAACCCAGTGATGTTGCAGACCCTCTGATAATTAAACCTCGCCACACCGTCAGCCCCTTAATGCTGAAGTTTGCGGTTTCCGTGGGGTGATTAATTCAGCCTGTAGCACCTTGGGATGGAATGGGTGGGTGGGGGGCTGTTCTCCTCCTCCTTTACTTTCCTCTCGCTTGAGTGACGCTGACTTGACGTCTCCTGGATGTTCCAGGCCAGTGAGTTCACAGGACTTCAGCGGAGACGCTGATGTTTGATGGTGGAAAAGGATCCACTTCCTTTGTGCATTGAAGATGTGTCATTTGTCCTCTGATTGGTGACATCTGATGCTTTAGTTATGGATCAGTATCTAGGGTTTGTGAGTGAGTGTGTGTGTGAGGTTATGTATGTATTACATTGTGGAGACCAAATGTCCACACAATGTGATAAAAACCTGTTATTTTGACGTTGTGGGGACCATTTTTTTTTCTGAATCAAAAAAAAAAAGCCAAAAGTCTTGTATTTTGTTTGGTTACTTATGGTTAAGGTTCGGGCTGGGTAGGAGTTAGGGTCGTCATAGTTGGGATTAGGCCCATAGAAAAGAATGGCGAGTCCTCATAAAGACATGAATACATGGACTGTGTGTGTGTGTGTGTGTGTGTGTGTGTGTGTGTGTGTGTGTGACCGTCTTTCACGCCTCGTCAGGGGCATGATGAGCAGGCTGCAGCGAGAGACTCCAGTCACAGATGCCAACCTGCCATCAGTTATCCTCGCCGTCACGGCATTGGTCTGGCAGCTAGAGCGGCGTCGGCAAGCGCGCCGCCAATGGCAATCCATCGGTTTACACGTTGGCTCGTTCAGAAGCAGCCGTGTTTCCTTCTGCGCCATCGCACACTTCTCTGGTCCCGAGGAGCCGGACATGCTCACTGCGTATACTGGAGCATAAGGAGACACTGCGGAGCCTCATCCATCACTGGCGGCCAGCTGGCCTGCAAGCGCGAAAGCAGGCCTGTCCCCAAACTCGCCGGCCCACATTAGGATGGGCCGGCCTCCCCAGCACATTCTTAATGGGTTCTGAAATGCCCTTGAAATTCTGCTCCAGCTCTTCTACAGCCCAGAACACTTTTATGATGTGTCTGTGTGTTTGTGTGTGTGTCTCTGCGCGTGCATCTGCCTGCTGCGCGTGTTTGTGAGTCTTTGCTCCCCCCACTGGCATAGTCCCGCCCCCCCAGTCTTCATCAAAGGGTTAAATAGGGCCATCCGAGCGTGTGGGCGGATGGGGTGAACTGGCAGCCCTGTCCCCCAGGAGGGAGGGGTCCGTCGGCCCCCATTCTTTAGCGTGTCACGCGCCCCCAAACCCTGAACTAGGCCAGGCTGTTCAGCTCCCAGAATCACTCCCGCCTCCCCACCGGTGCGTAACCATGGCGATGGTGGCCAAGTGGCAACGTACTAGTCCAGCGACCCGTGGTGGAATTTCAGCCAGGACAAAAGAGCCAGTGTTCCCAGGCCGCCCCCCTGCCCCCTGGAGAGACCTTGGCCGGCGTTGGGGCTGAGATCACCGCGAAGGCACTGAACACCTCACCTCCTGACATCTCAGAGGCCGCAGAGTGCTGCACTTTCCCGCTCCGAGGGCTCCGTCTCCTGCTAACTCCTCCTCCAGCGTATCCATGGATGTGCTCTCCGGGAATGTGCACGTAGGCGTGGCTTCATGTCAGGTGGGCGGAGATTGGCTCACATCACTCTCCCTCTCTCTTACTGTCACTCTCTCTCACTCTGTTCCCATCTGTATATGGAGTCGTGTCACACAGAAGCAGGAGCCAAAGAGGGGTATAGATACCATGGCAGATTCAAGGGGCCCAGTGCTATAGGGGCCCAGCGCTATAGGGGCCCAGCGCTATAGGGGCCCAGCACTATAGGGGCCCTTGAATACAGCAATTTATAACTTAGGGGAATATGGTCAATTTTATCCCCCCCTTTCCCCCCCACCACACCTGGCAGCATATTTTATCATCAAGGGGAGGAATTCCGTACTTCTTCAGAAAGTGGCAACCCTAGGCCCAAGATGACATTTTGCCGGGGGGGCCCGGAGTGTCTAGCTATGCCCCTGCACAGAGGTGATCCAGGCCCCCCCTGAACTTCCAGAGAACAGAAGATCCTTTTTTTCTGTTCGCCTTTGGCTGTCAGGACATACATCATTTATTGTAGCGGCGCAGGCAGACGGTACAGAACAGGGCTGCAGCACTGCAGAGCAGAATATCTGTGGTACAGCAACGTAGCCCCAGGAAACCTCTCCTTTCAGAGTTATACCTCTCCTGATGCCAGTCAGTCTGACGGAAAGACTGTGGGTCTGCTGACGCCGATGCCAGAAGCGTGAGCGAGCTGGGGAGGGCCGTGCCGGGCTGCGGTGGAAGGCACAGGCTCTCTGGTGGTGACGAGTGGACATTGCAGGGTCCGGGCGTGAAATGGCACCTACTCATTTACGCGGCGATAAAGGCTGCGGCTCTTTAAGTGCCGCTACTCCTCGCTCCACGGCTGACATAAGTAGCAGAGCGTTTATCGGGCCTCCAGTGAGCCTGTTTATCTCACTCCGCCATGTTTCATTTCTTAGGCATTCCTACATGAAGTAAGTAGCAAGAATTTTATTTTAATACGGAACCAGCCGACCATACAGTGCTTATCCAGTACGGGTTTGGTGGGGGGGGCGGTGTTGGAGCCAATTTCAGGAAACTCATGGCAATTTTTAGGATGAGATGCCAGTCTATCATAGGGCAATTTAGAGGTATGTTTTTTGTATCTGGAAGGAAGACCATGCAAACTCTACCTATCCAGTGGGGCCAGGAGTCAGACTTAAAGCACTGGAGATGCCCGGTGCGTGCCGTTCAGTCTAATGGGATGTCTTTGGACCCCAGGAGGTCCATATGGTCCTGAGAGGAACAGAACATAGGCACACTCCCCGAGCAGAGCAGAGGTGTGCTTTATTACAGTCAGGCTGCAATAATATTTCTGTCTTGCTTCATTTACATTGATCATTATACCATAGCAGGGGTGACAGGAGAAGGTCAGCGGCAAACGTGTGTTGAACCATTAAATTTATTGTTGGTTTAGTGCTGACTGATAGCGTGGGCAGCTCTGCCCCAGAGTGAGGAATTTAATTTGGAGACCTGGGCTCTGGTGACACGGAGAGCATTGCAGACCCGCCAGGCGTGTTCCTTTACCAGCATGCTACCCGTGGGAGGAACCGCGGGAGCGAAACCCCATCATGTGCCGGCGGAGCAGGACAGCCAGCGCGGTTTTAAACGGAGAAGTGTTCTTTGTCGGTTTTATTTGCGGTCGTTAGCCCACCAGCCAGGGGGAAAAACCAGCACAGGGATGAGAAAAACATGTGCAGGGAGGGGTCATCATTGTTGTGTTCCAGGGCACAAAATGGAAAACAGGAAGGAGGGTGGGGCGGAGGGAGGGGTGAGGTGTCCAATGAAAAGTGAAGACTGGGGGGAGGGAGGGGGGAGGTGTCCAATGAAGAGTGAAGACTGAGGGGAGGGAGGGGGGAGGTGTCCAATGAAGAGTGAAGACTGGGGGGAGGGAGGGGGGAGGTGTCCAATGAAGAGTGAAGACTGAGGGGAGGGGGGAGGTGAGGAGGAGCAAAGCTAATGATGGAAGTGAAGCCAAAACCCAACACCATCACTGACCCTATTTCTGTTGTCCTACTTCTAACCTTTCCTCTGCTCTGTGCCCATTGGCTGACTGTGCCGCATCCCAGAATGCCCCACCTGCCTGGAGCTCGGCCATGGAACCATGCTGCCAGCCCAACAGTCGTGCCGCAGTGGCCTCTTACTGCCGTTTCCGCACGCCC